TTTTTTTTTTTTTTTTTTTTGCTTTTCGTGTCTTTTTCTAATAAAGAATTGAGAAATTCGAAACAGCATTCGTCACGCGTATTAGGATGGTGCATTCAAAAATGGAGGTTTAAGCTTTGTTCAAGGATTTAGTAGATAAAGTTGTTGCTTGATAAAAAATTTAGTTGCTTGATAAAAATTTTTCATATTTAGTTGATGACAAATCATTCGAGAGTACGTTGAGTTTTTGGATTAAAGATCAGTATCTTGATTAGTATCCTTTCGTAACAAAATGTAACTGTTACAAATGATATATTTGCCAAGCATGATTACACCTCATTAAAAAGCAAAAAATTCCTCTGCATCCTTGTAGAAAACAGAATGCAGTGCTTCTATCTGATGAGGACCACTGGCTTTGTCAGTAGACTAAATGATTGTGTTTTCAGTAATGGCTTGGTGTGCAGCGTTGGAATGCTGTTTATTATGCTTATAGTCCTTGTTTTTGCGATTGCAATATCCAAGTGGAAGATGAATAGATTATTTGGAATAATTATGATTTTATCATATTTGATTTTTTGTGTGTTTTCAGTCTCTCTTGAAACTGGCCACTTTACATGTCCATTAAAACTTTGTTAAAACTTTATTTTATTCATTTTTTCTAAATACAGTAGAAGTTTACTCACTGAGCTCTTCAAGGTGCTCATCATTAGTGTAATACTAATGTAAGCTGCGTTTACACTGGACAGAAGCCAAAGACTTACTGAAACTTTTCAATTAAATTCTCGTTTTATATGGAACAAAATAGGTTTGTAATATACTTATCTGCTTAGGTACTCAGACTAAACAAAGCAAATAGGAAGTAATTCCTTTTAGCGTCGGAAGATTGCAGTAGTAATTTTAAAAGTTAGAACTAAAAAAAAATTAAATTTTCTTTCCAGTTACAAATCTGTCCTGTGCCGTCATTTGAGTTCTCAATCCTTTTTTTTTTTATTACTCTTGGATGTTATACTTGTATATGTAAGAATATTATGACTTCATATTGACATTTTCAAAAATACTCCTTACAAACTTTTCGCCAACACTTCCAAATGCG